CTGTGTTTCCTTTCAATGTGTTGGCCACATGTTTAGGGATAAGGGGAACGAAGGAAACATTCTCTGTGGTTCTGCTTGATGGAACACTGACACACAGTCGACCTACATTTCTGCTGCCTGATCTGTAGATGTGGTGGAGTGTGTGTGTGGAGAAGTTGCTGTTTTTTCGGGGGATGTCATTAATTGGGTGTGTGTGGCCACTTTTCTGTTGTTTTCTTGGGGCACTTCTTCAGTTGTATCATGGGAACTATCTGAAACATTGCATCATCTGTGTGTGTGTGTGTGTGTGTGTGTGTGTGTGTGTGTTGCCAGCTGCTGAATTGCATGTTTTATTTAAATAAATCTAGTTATCACTTTGCTGTTGTTTTTGTGACTATGCGTAATCAGGCTTAGTCTGGGTTTGCGTGTTTATGAATGTGTGTGGTAAAACCCGAGACAGGATGTTTACCATCAACAGGTGTGTGTATTTTTTGAGTAAATCTTCAGCGACAATTCAAAGTTTTTAAGTTCAGATATAAATAGTATGTGTTTGTTATGCAGGTGCTCTGTTTCTATGAAGCTGTGGAGGTCCTGCAGTTCACTAGGATGGTAGAGTGTGATGTTGGTTCCAGATGAATCCTTATTTTCCAAAATGTTTTCTGATTTTGATGATTTTTATTTAAAATACCATCATGGTTCATCAAAGAACTTCTCTTAAACTGCACTAAGATGATGTTGGCCAGCAAAAAGAGATCCATGATGACGTCTTTCTGCCTCTTCATAGGAAAATCAACATAAATAAAAAGAATATTTTATTATTGTCACATGACATGACATGACATATTGTTTAAAATGTTGCCATGCGTGTATATATTGAAGTACTCACACCCTACTCAATATTTCACTCTTTGTTATATTGCAACCATTTGCTGAAATCCATAAAATTAATTAATTTTTCCTCATTAATGTACACACAGCACCCCGTGTTGACAGAAAAACACAGAATTTAAGAATTTTCACCCATATTGACTTGAGTTTTTTAAGGGTTTTGTTGGACTTTACCCCTTTTTTCTACAGGTTGTTGATCGTCTTCTGTCCTATTTTTAAGTGTGTCCTTTTTTGTCTCCCTCCACTTGTCCAATTCCCACTAATTTCTTTAATGGCACACTGCACATCACGCTGAGATGTTCCAAGTTCTCAGCTTATAGTCATTTAAGAATCAACTGGTGGGAGAAAAAAAATCTATTTTTGGCTCGTCTGACTGTGATATCAAGCTGTGTAATGCGTTCTTTAACGAGCAGGACTGGATTCAAAAGACTCACACAAATACGTAGCCTCAACTGAGAGCGCGGGTTCCTAATACTTGGGTTACGACCTCACTGCGGGTCACAAAAACAAATGAATGGGTGTCAGGTCCTCATCATACCCAGCTCTCAGCAGTCCTGTGTGATCAGCTCCCGGCCCGCTATACGGTGTACAGCAACATCCAACCAGATAAATAGCTCTCACTCAGCACCCTGATCATCAGTCATCGTTTCGTCATGATAAGAGATCCTGATCAGTCAATCAGTTCCCAAACCATCCAAAAGACCCTGTTCCAGCCATCGCTCCTCTCCCACCAAAACAATCCCATCAGGCTCCAGCCAAACTCCATCAGCAAGCAGCTGTCGGTGGCTAGCGTGCCACGTCTCTGACATTACTCCTCTTCCTCCTCGCACGCCCCTGACTCACCTTAGCGCACACCTGCGTTTCTCCAGCTGTGGATCACCAACAAAACCTTCTGATTCCTGCTTCATTCCACCAACTTGAATGACGGATTTTGGGGATAATTTCCAGTAATCAAAATACATAAGGAGACAGATTTACTGCGGGTGCCACAAATACATCAGACACTGCAGTCATGGATGGGAAAACAAAACAATCGGCCGTTGAGGTGGTCGTGTTTAACTGACTTATTCACTAAGTTTGCACACTTGGACCATACATTTCTGCCACTTGTTATTTAGTGGTTTAAAAGCTGAGAAGTTTGGAAACTTTTATATTTGTTATATGGAGGTTTAATAAGAAACCTATAATGGAGGTTTTATAATAGAGAAAGATGTATGAGCAGAGTTATAGAGAAATCAAATGAAACAAGCTAGAACTTTCACAAGGACGTTAAACGCTGGAGGGAGAGGCAGGGAGGCAACTACAGGATCTGACAATGGGGAGAAGAAACTAAGGTGAGCTGAAAGAAGACACAAAGTCTACATTGATACCTGGTATGATCAATAAATCTGGTATCACGGCGAGAAATATGGGACTTGAGAATGCTGGAAGCTGGAAGAAAGGTGCTAAGAGTAATGGAGGTGGTCTACCACTGACCAGATCCCAAATACAGGTTCACCAACATTTTCCCCCAGATGAGAGATGTCACTCCTGATCCTCATCCTGGTCATTCTGTAGTTACTTCATTGCTCCAGTATTCCTGGCTATTCTACAGATATCTGTTTTTGATCATTGATTTAAATTAGGTGTGGACCAGGACAACATTAAAACATGCAGAATGGCACCCCTTAGAGAACCTGCTGCTTTAGTTTCTGTGCCAAATTTGGAGATTCCTCCAAAGGAGTTTAAAATTTTAGGCTGCATCCAAATCCAGGAGCCGCATCCATTCAGTGACGCATTTTAAGGCCAGTTACGTCACAGCAAAGCGACAGGCTCATAACTTTCAAAGGATACTCAAAATGCATCTTCAAAAGCATCCTCATTTCCTCCAAAATTTGAGGACAAGTCTGGTGCATTCTCATTGTCAAAGGCTTTCCCAGGATTCATTGTGGGCTGAACAGGAGGTTTTTGTTCTTGTTATCATGCCAAAGGAAGCGGGAGAGGATTACAGTTTAAATAGTAGTATATTAAAGGTTGTATATGGAAAAAATTAATATAAAGTTATATATTTTTTAAAATAATAGCTCAACACAGCGAGGCTGACAGTGTGGAAAATGGTGGACTCAGCAAGTCAAGAAGCTGCTTCTGATCCCAGTTTCACACAGGAAGCATCGCTGCCTACACAACATCAATGGGAAATGATGTGTCTCTGGGAACTTAAACATTGTAGATTCATTGAACTTCTAGTGGTGTTATGGTAGATGGTGTCTGCTGGTATGCTCTACCACACATTGACTGCATAGTACAACATGCAGTCTATGACCTCATATTTGATCCTGTGACCTGACTCCTCCAGCAGTCGGAAGTGCTAGAAGCGACAGATGGAAGGCGAGTGCTGCAGAGAGAGCGAAGCGGGGTGGGGGTGGGGATGGTGGGACTGTGTTGTCTGGGATTCCAGCAGGATTAGACAGAGGAAGTCGTGACTTTATTTGTGGTGCTTAAGGAGTTAAGCTAAAGAAAAGACCACAAAGATGCATCATACCTCACTGTGGGTGGAGGACCACCACACTGACTTATTTGCACACGTGAACACATACAGTTAATTCAGTGGATGCACAAATGCCTGATTATCCTGAGTTTCTCTAAATGGAAGTCAGTCTAATATTGTGTGACTTACAGCAGTGTGTGTGTGTGTGCGCGCGCGCGCGTGCATGCATATGTGAGGGATAGCAGGACAAAGAGTGTCTTGTATTTTAGGGAGGGGTTAAGGGGTATCTGGGCCTGTTGGGTCCAATCCTGGGGGCCAGGGATGGGAATTTTCTGTGTGTGAGCAGAGGAATGCTGCTATTTGCTGAGTGAAGAGCACGGAGGCAGCAGAGACTGTCCAAACACACGTCTGTTTGCTGAGAGAGTGTGTGTGTTTGTGTGTTTGTGCGTGTGTGTGTGTGAGTAAGAAGGGAAAGTGTGCTATGGGCAGCGATGGAAAGACTTTTAGTGGAACTTCGTGTGTGCTCTCCTTATGCTGTGACCTTCTTCTCAATGAACACTTTCATATCCAGTCCTGGTCTCCACGCTAAGGGAGCAGACGTTACTGAAAGAGGTCTGTCTCTTCCTACCCGTGACCTACTCGCTCCGAACACACTCTGGTCCACAATTCAGACTTTGCTCCGGCTGTGTGTGGAGGTGTATGTGTTTACTGTTACCTGTTTGTTTGGCTGATGAGAAGTCATGGCGGTGGGTGAGAGGTTGAGGAGAGGATGGAGAGCTGTTTGATGGCGGCGAGAGAAAAAGAGGTGATGAGCATCAATGGGAGGCAAGGTGGAAAAAGATGAACTTAGGAGGGAGGAAGTGGTTGGATGTGAGTAATAACTGAAGTACAGGAGGGAGATTTATGCAGGAAAGATAAAAAGTGAGCAAGAGCAGAAGAATGAAGGTGTTGGAAGTTATGTTGCAACAACGAAAACCACTAAAGGAGGAATGTGTGAAGGCCTGTGTCATAAATTATAAACCAAAAGCCACTAAATGTGAGTGTGATTAGGTTTTGTGGATCTGCTCATGAAACAAACAAAAGCAGAATGCATTTAGGAAACGACCTACAGTTATTCAGCACATGTCAACACGTACAAAAAATATTGCTGTTTTCCTCCATGCATGTGTGTTTGCAGTTAGTGAGGGCCTCTGTACATCGGCATGCGTGCCCGTGCTGTGTGATTTATTCTAAGGCCAGGTCTGCTTCCAGCTGTCCCAAAGGGGTCCCAATGACTTTACCAGCCGCAGACCTCCATCACAGATCCACAGTAGAAGAGAGAGGGAGATGGAGAGATTTTACAGAAGGAGATATGGACAGTGGAAAATCAACATCATATTCAGTCTGCTGCTAATTCTTTGTAGATTTTCTTGCTTCTCCTTTGAGGCATACATTTAAATATTCAGTGAACTGTCGAGCTTTAAATTGGTTTTCCGCATTTGAAGAGGGAAATATGGGTTTAAGGGTTGAGGATTCAGCTTTGCATGCTTCTAATATGAGCATATTAGTCGGATGATGTCTTCATACAAACTCCCAAGTTATTGGTACATTGGTTCATTACTTGATGCCTTTTGAAAATAACATCTCCATGAGCATGAATTTATTTTACATTTTCTGTCTCTTTCAGGTCCTGCTGAGGTTCCCATGATGTCCCCAAATGGGTCCATCCCCCCCATCCACGTACCACCAGGATACATCTCACAGGTTTGTCTGTCATAATGATTTTACTTACTATGATTTTACTATGATAGCACATAAGACATTTTATGTCTTCACACTCCATGTGTAGCTCTCTCTCTCTCTCTCTCTCTCTCTCTCTCTCTCTCTCTCTCTCTCTCTCTCTCTCTCTCTCTCTCTCTCTCTCTCTCTCTCTCTCTCTCTCTCTCTCTCTCTCTCTCTCTCTCTCTCTATATATATATATATATATATATATATTCTGGCCACAACCAGTGGCAGCTGGTGAATTTTCTTTTGGTGGGGCACATTTTTGCAAGTCAGTTTTCAGATGTCCTAACCACATATCACCAATAGGGGGTGCCAAATTACTATTGTTTTGCATCACACAACTTGAACATGAGGGTCCTCGATACCGAGCACGTCCAGCAAAAAATGTCTTCCAAAAGCATGCTTAATAGTCACCAAACTATGAAAACTGCTTATGTACTTAACCTGAAGAGGCTTGTCACGTTTTCTACCTCAACAACATCCAATGACAATAATCCATCAAATGAAAAGGCTGTCTCTTTGCTTTGCTGTGCGGGAGCTGTTGGTGGTATCCCGCATACAGATCAGGAAAAAGGCATTGAGAAAAACACACATTGCAATAAGATCCTATCTGCAGAAACAGTCATTTAAAAATAAACCCAGTCTCTCCTCTTTACAACAATATAAGTGTCATTATTCTACCTGCAAAACTCATGGAGCAAGCCACAAACACAGCAGTAAACAACTAATTCAATGAGGTCAAAAGCATAAATTTGGTTTTACCTTTGCTGGTTTATGGTCATGTTAATATGTGTTATAGTAAAACAAATCCACGTTTGTGTAATCTTAAGTCCCAACGTCACACTGAACTGATTCCTTAGCCGGCAAGCCAGACTAAATAAATTATAATCTAGTCTGGCAACGTTCCATTGACGGTTCTCGGTTGTGGGGCGGGTACTACCCTTGTCTTTCAAACCATCTCTGCATGCTATTGGACAATGAACCACGTGACATACTCACTGCAACGGATGTGTTTAATGAGGCAGTCCGCTGTTGAAGAAGGCGAAAATACATCCTATTTCCAAATAAAGGACTTAAAAACATCTATCTGCTCCTGATTCTAATAAATCCCAAGTCCAAATAGTCCCAAATAGATGTATTAGCCATTTTAAATAAGCTGTCGCCATCTTACTCCACTCCATCGCATCATCCCGCCCACAAAGCCAATAGAGCGCTGTTATTGGCCCGCCAGAATGCTTCTAGGGGCCGCAGAGGTTCCAATGAAGCTTCCCTAGACCAAACATTGCAGAGCAAGAATTTGGTCTAGTTCACTAGGCTACTGATTCCTGACTGATTTTGGATTTTTTTTCACCTGCTGGAAAGTGTTTACAAATCTCCAACAGCACATTTCATCCATTTCCGGTTTTCCACGATAAAAAAAAAAACTCCACAAGCTGTACTCAGCTCTTCTATAAGGAACAAAGAATGGTGAACAAAAATTTTTAATTTAAAAATCAAAAAATAATAAGTGTGGAGAGTAGGGATGTCCCGATCCAATCACATGATCGGAAATCGGCCCGATCACTTGGTGTCAGACTGATCGGGACTCAGGCTTTATTTCCCGATCCGGACTCGGATACTGGGTTCAAATTACAGGAGAGTAACTTGGTTCTCCTTAAAGGTTGATGCCCTTAACTTACACACCCAGAAGGAGATCAAAAAAGATCTGGTTTCTACCTATATTATATTATTTATATGGACTCAGCGTAGCAGGGATTCTTTTGAGCAGAGCAGCAGGCAGACCGCTGATTATTCATGAACTCCAGCTGCGTTCGGCACACGGCCACAGTAACATTTTCTAAGTTTGTAAGTGGTGTCACCAAAAATATGCAATTAACCCACTGTTATTCGTGTCCGTTCATTTTCTCTCTGGTAAGTTCTGTCTATTTGAGCATGACGTGTGGACGCGCTCGCGCTGCCCCCGCTGCAGCGCTCGTCACTGGCGCAGCCGGGCAGCGCAGTGCACACTCCGCTTTTTTGCAGTTAATAGATCAATTTGATCTGCTAGTTAAAAAGTTACTTGTGAGGTGATAAAGAAGGAAGCAGGCAGGAGTTTTTCTGGAGGACTGGGAGATGCAGCAAGATCAGAGACAGACAGGACAGGAAGATAGGAAAAAAAATCTTAAAAAAATAAAATGTAGGTAGATTGATCCCAGTACATGTTTGTACCTGTATAAAGCAATAATTTATCAGCATGTAGTATTTATATAGTTGGTACAATTCAGATCATCTTCAAAACTCCTTCCCCCCAGGGGCGTATCTAAGCATTTTGGGGGCCGATGCAAAATAGACCCCTGCCGGGTATTTTAAGTTGAAGTGCTATCTGTTTTTATATTAGACTTTTTATATTTGCAATAAAGTCCAAAAGTGAAGAATTTATGTTATTTATTACTTGATTGTTCAAGCTACCTCACAGAAGTGATCTGTTGTTAAAAATTAAAATTAAAAGGTAATAAAATAAAAAATAAAGAACATTCTGGAACTGTTTCTTCCTTTTCTTGTTTTTTATGTATCGAAAGTATCGGATCGGGACTCGGTATTGGCAGATTCTCAGAATCAAATGACTCGGACTCGAGGGCAAAAAAACCTGATCGAGACATCCCTAGTGGAGAGCCTCTGGTTCTGGGTGAACATCCTGGTCTTTGGTTCTGCCTGGACAGTCTTTTGTGCACGCTTCGATCGCAAACCTCTGCCCCCAAAGGCTCTCCTATTCTTTGTATTGGAGAAAAATCCAGCGAGCATGTGACAGTTACAGCGTAGGTCTATGGTAAAGATTGCTGCACCTGAAAAGGAACGGGAAATGTGTCACAAGACGTTTCAGTAATGGTAAAAGTGTAAGAAGACATTTTTAAACTACACGTAAATGCAGATTATGCACAGCACTTTGTATGATGTATAGATCATTTAGTTTAATTTACATGTTTTTATTTTGTGATTCCTATCTTCTTCCTCTTCCTGGCAGGGCAGCACCCTAGCTCTCCTATGGACGAGCCGCCACTGGCCATAACCCATAGACAGGTGTCAGTTGTTGGGTGGAATCTATAGTTGTCTTTCAAATAGTCTCTGCATGCTGTTGGACAATGAACAATGTGACATACTCCTGTGGGTGTCAATCAGTGGGGCAGTCTGCCATACACTGTTGAAGAAGATGCAAATGCATTATTTTTTTTAAATAAAGGACTCAAGTATCTCTATCTGATCTTTAATCAAAGAAAATCCCAAGCCAAAACCGTCCAACAATGATGCCAAAGCCATTTCAAGTTAGCCTTCGCCATCTTTGTTTTTTTTTGCTCAGTCACAGTAACATCCCACCCACTAAACCAATAGAGTACTGTGACTGGCAAGACACAAGACTGTTCAGGCCTGCTGAGGTTCCAGCGAAGCGTGGTTAGACCAACCTTTACAGCAAAATCATTTTACGTCCAACCCCTTAAAGCTGAGTATCATGCAGTTTTTGGTATGATCCAACTGGATTTGAACCCTGATCTCTCAGTCCCTGGGTGGACAGTCATTCCACTAGATCACTGAGAAAGGTTTAAAACTCATTACCAAGTGTTACACCAACTCTTCCAATCACTTTTACACCTTTATCATGCCCTCCTATTTCAAAGACGCCAACAATGAGGTTAAAACATTTCATTGTGACACAGGATACCCATTAGAGCAACCAATACATTCAAAAACCAAGGGCAAACATTAGGGCCACTGTTTTAAACGCTGACTGAATTCACAATGGAGGCATTTATGTGTCTTAACTTGTGCAAGAATCAGTTGAAGTAGTTAAACCCACCAAATAATGCAATTAAATTTGTTGAGTGCTTTTACTCACAGCAAGCACTAAGCATGCACAGAGCAATACACCTATTGGGTCAGTCATGCTTTGGAAACACAAGAAACCAAGGTAGCCTCCTCCCCTGGTGGTTCTCTGGAATGTGCTGATTTCAGGATGTATGGCTCATTTGTTTTTCTGAGTCTCTTATGTGTATCTGTCCTTGAATTCTGGCTAAAGTCTCTGTAACAGGATCAAGTTATTAAAAAAACAGACGGTCCTCAAAACAAGTCGGTAAACAAGTCTCACAAGCAGAGTGTTACAGTCCCATCTGTGGCGAGTTTGCAGTGGGATCACTCCTCTCCGCCAATGGAAGTCAGGTCATTGGCTCACTGGGGGTGTGTATTTGTGTTTGCATGTGTGTGGGTGTGTGTGTTAGTAGGATATCAGCCAAGTCTGAGCGGGAAACACTGTCACTGTGCATAAACACGCCCGTTAGGCGAGACAGGCATTTGGTGGGTAGATTGTTTTGCGTGGTGGGGGTTGAGGGGGGTGGAAAAAAGGGAGAGATAAAGTCAGTCATAGCTCTTAATGGTGGAAAGTTGCACTGAGATAATAGGTTTTGTCTGTATATTGGGGTGTCTCTAAATGCGACCTGTGGGATTGTGTGTGTCTTTCCCAATAAAAAGAGTACATGTGAATTTGGTATGTGGGCCAGCTTCATGAACTCATGTGGGGACTTTGCTCTAGCTTTCCCGTAAACACTTAGTTTTTCTTCTCTTTCGCAGTGTAGGGGATGGGGGGGGCAGATAGGGGACTACAATTCTTTCTCCTCCTCCTCTTCATTTTCTCCCCCCACTCTGGATGTTTCTCACTCGGATTAGTGCTGTAACCCTCCTAGCCCCCTCCTAACCAACTTTCATACCCTCCCTTCTTTCTTTCCATTTCTTGTATCTCAACATTCTGTTGCTTCTCAGTTTGTGCTGGAGCTTTTTGGGGTGGTATGTGGTTTGTGTCCAACAACATGTGTGTTGTTGTTGTTGTTAAGGACCAGCGATTGCTTCCCTTCTCTGCAGGGAGTGTGTTTGCTCCTTCCTTGGAATGCAGGCCTGTGAAAGTGTCTGAATAGTTGGAATGCGTGTGCCTATGAATGTGTGTCAGTTCCAGTTTATGATTGTGAAAGTGAATACATGTATAGAATCCACATCGTCAGTTGAATCTTGTTGATAATAAACAGTCTGCACCCTGATGAGAATGTTGCACATTTTCATGGCAGCAGTAGCTTAGGAGGTAAAGCCAGTTCTCCAGTAATCTGAAGGTTGCAGGTTTAATCCCGGCTCCCACCAGAGAATGCTGCTGTTGTGTTCTTGGACAAGAAATCTAACCCACCTTGCCTACTGATGGTCAGAGACTGGTTGGAAAACATCATTCCTGTCAGTGCGCCCCAGGGCAGCTGTGGCTACAATGTAGCTCATCGCCACCATAGTGAATGTGTGTGAATGGATGTAAAGCGCTTTGGAGTCCTCTGACTCAGAAAGGCGTTATACAAGTGCGAGTCATTTATCATTATCGTAACTTCAAGGAGCAAAATATCCTGTTGGTGCAACTTATTAATGTACAGGAATACATTACCTTTTTATTGCCTCTCATCAAATGACCAGCAACCATGTTTATGTTGGTGTTTGTTTATGTTGTTAGCAAAAGTCTCATTAAGTCTCATGAACCTTTTTGCAACTACGTCCACAAGTGAGTAAAGTTTAACCCAATTCAAGATGACCACCATGGCTAATTTTTTTAACATAAAACATCTACAACTAAATAAATATAAAGGTGTCCTTCATTGAGACATTGTGTAACGCTTGTTCTTTTGGAAATAAGAGCGGTTACTCTTGAGTGTCATACGCACGCCGAAAATAAAAATTCCCATCAACCCCTATTATACCTGCATTAGTCGCACAAAGGTCTCTTCTGCGTCACAGAGGAGATTTCCATTCATTTCCACGCCCACCTTGACTTGCAACCGCAGAAGGCTGTATTGGTTTTGCAGCCAGGTGAGCAGTGCATGTATTGGCCAGTAGAAGCTAACTATTAGCATTAGCAACTCCACAACATGAAGGAACACAGGCTTGTTCAGGTGTGTGTTGTTTGTGGAGACAGTGCATCAACTTAGCTCTTTTTAAGCCAAGGAAGAAGAAAGCAGCAGAAGAGTTGTATTGCTTTTTGCCAGTCCGAGGCCTTATATTAGCATATCATGAAAATTAGTGAGTAAGACTCCAAATCCTGCAGTTTTCTACCCCCTACCCTATGAAACAAAACAACTTCTCACAAGAAATTCATTTACTGAAGAAAAAAAGAATGAATAAGGTCTTTAAAAGGTTTTGTACTAAATGTTCATGTCAAAATGGCAATGAGTCATTCCCATTATATACTCTTCTGTGGTCCACACTTAGCATAATCTTTGGTAAATTACATGAATTTATATGACAAACTATTGACTCCTACTGCAGTACTTGGAGAAAACCCCAGAAGGGCTTAGGAAGGAAATGCAAGATATGTGCTGAAAGGCCCTAGCTGTGTGTTGAACCTGTGACATTCTTTCTGTAAGGCAACATGCTGCCAACTGTGTCCTCGGTAACTGTTTGTCTATTAATAAATGATCTCATTAGCCAACCAATGAAGATTGTTAAAACTTCCAGAAAGTCTTCATTGGATGTACATCTACAACCATTTTTGAAATCAGCCCATTTCAAGATGGCTGCTACAGCTCATCAGTCTTGACCAGCACAGACATGTCTAAAACTTTGTTCACACGATATTTGCCAGTGTTTGATTAAAAGACTCGTTTATCTGCGTTTTGTCCCACAGGTACTGGAGGATACTACAGGGGTCCGCCGGGTAGTGGTCACCCCCCAATCTCCAGAGTGCTACCCTCCCTCCTACTCTCCAGCTCTGTCGCCCACACATCACCTGCCCCCATACCTGGCTCACCCTCACTTCATCCACAACTCTCACTCTTTCTACCCTGTCAGCCCAGGGGAGCTGCCACCCCAGCAGTACTACCAGCACCACCTTCCCCCCATGTATGGTGATCCAGGTACTCGCCATACTCATCCCACCTGATAAATAAGCAGGCTGTTTCAATTTTTTTCATTTGAAATTACGATCTTCTTTCTTTTCTTCTCAGAAATCATTCCTGTTTATGGAATGTCAAACTACATAGGCAGAGAGGAGACGTATGGCAAGCCACAGCCCAAAAAGATAAAGGAACAAAGGCAATTAGAGCGACAGAACCGACTTAATTCTCCTCCCTCTACGCTCTATAAAAACAGTCTTGGGCCAGCACACAATGGCTATAGGTATCCTTCATTTGTGGTTTTTTTTTGTGAATGACTATAATTAGACAAGCCATGAACACATTGGTCCTTCGTGTCTTTAGATTTTGTTCATTGCCATTTCTCAATTTTTTTTCATGACTTGTATGTAAAGTCATTTTTTGCATGTTTTGCTTGTGACTCAGTAACAAATTGCATGCCCCATCGCTCGGGTCGGGGGGCGGAGCCAGCAGTCCAGTGGGCAAAAAGCCAGAAAGACGACTCCGCTGCAGTCCAAGAAACAGTGAGCCAGAGACACACACACAAGGTAGGCAAAAACAGTGTTGTCTGTATTGTAGTCTCACACACACACACACACACACACACACACACACACACACACACACACACACACACACACACACACACACACACACACACACACACACACACACACACACACACACACACACACACGAAGTTGCAAATAAAAGCAAAATGACACAAAATTTTTGGCATTTTCTTGTAGACAGAATCAAAATCAAACAAAAATCTTGCAACAGGTTTGCTATTCTTTCTTCTGACACATCTGTCAGCATACATGAAATGGAAAGACCAGACCAAATCTTCTCCCTTTCTATCTGTCTCTCCTTTGCACCTTAACCCTCCCATTGTCCTATCAGGTGACCCCTCCAGGAAAGGTGACAGTTGAGCGGGGTTGATGGGTTTATCCCTTGAGGTCCACGTAGCAGGGGTGAGGTGGTGCTCACCCCTGCTACGTGGACCTCAGTCCTGCTCAATGGTCACCTTTCCTGGAGGGGTCACCTGATAGGACAGTGGGAGGGTTAAAAGAAAATGAAAGGATTAAAGATTAATGCAGCCATACTGGGGTGAAGAGATCTCAGGTGGGATGGAGATTTGGGTGAGGAGTTGGGATAGTTGGGTAACTTCATAGCTGAACCTGTCCCTGAGTGCTATCGGTTTACCTTCGCTACAATACCGGCCTTGTTGCTGAAGGCTGAGGCTGAGCCGGGGGGGCTACATACCTGTAGAGTCCCGCTTGGGGATGAAGGAAAGCTTTGAGCTCTCTGTGATTTAGACATCGCCACCACAGACTCATTCTTATCACACACACACTTACTTGTGTTGTTTCTCTCTTTAATGGCTTGTCTGTTGACACATCTGGGTTACTAAAATAAGCAACACACATACATACACATACACAACTATACAAAGAGGTGTTGACAGAAAAACATGAAAGATGAATTAATGAGTTCTGTTTTTTTTACCCAGTTAAGTTTACCATCCTGATAAAACTTGGTTTAGTCCCTCCTTTAAGTTTTTGAGGGCGCAATGGCCACACTGTTGACAACAGCGGTGTCCTGACCAATCACAAGCTGGCGTTCTCGGTCTCGTTGGACGGCTGTTAAGAAAAGAGAGCTCAACTCTGTTCGTCCGTGGAAGGGCTCTCCAGCAGGCTCACAAGGACGGAAAATGGCATTTCGTGTCTCTGCACCGACGCAGACAGAGAAGTTTAAATTAGGCTTTAGAATGGTGTGTGTGTGTGTGTACTTGTTTATACATCAAAGTGAGGACCAGGGACAAACTTTTCACCTGTAAAATGAGAACATTAGTGGTGAAGTGAGCACACTTTGCTGGTCCTCACTTTGGTACAGTGTTACAGAGCTCTACTTCATAGTTTTAGAGGTACAGCATGGTGTGAATTAAGTTGTAGTTAGACTGGTCATGGTTAAAGTTAGTTAGGGCTAGGCACAATCCAGTCACTAAAATGAATGGAAGTCAATGAGAGTCTGTGTGTGTGTGTGTGTGTGTGTGTGTGTGTGTGTGTGTGTGTGTGTGTGTGTGTGTGTGAACGTGTCTTTATATGTTTAAGTGGAAAAATCGTACTGTGGGAACATGTTGCTGGTCCACACAATGCTAAGCACCCTGAAACCTGGTTTTAGAGGTTTGGTGTGAATTAGCTTTTCAGTTAGGTTAGTTTAGGTTTGGAAAAGAACCCCATTGGTTAGGGTTAGGGTATGGGTGGAGTCACTAAAATGAATGGAAGTCAGTGGAGGTTCACCCAAACATATCAATACACGTGTGTGTGTGTGTGTGTGTGTGTGTGTGTGTGTGTGTGTGTGTGTGTGATCCAGCTGGGTCAGGTGTTAATTCATGCCCTCACATGAATTCATGTTCAGAACTCAGGATGGGAACGCTCAAAGTGAGTTCCCTCTATATTCCTTATGTTATGAATGAGTTAGGAACATGATGTGATTTTAGTAATTTTAATAGAATATTTAGTGAATCTGTTTATGCTAATATTTACGTTTTTTTTTGGCATTTTCTGGTATCACAACCTAATAAGTGTTTTTAAACATTTTTGATGCTTTCTTTTGCCAGTATGTTTTAGGATGAATGTTTCTTCTAAATATTTCGTTTCAACCTTTTTTAATGAAATATTAAAGGATTCAGCTGTGGCAAATTTAAATGGACACATTCTAAATTAGGTTTGAAATGCACAAAGTCAAATGTATAGTTAAGGAAATGATCTAAAGTAAGATGAGACTACAAGTATATATTATCCTGGAACAGGAAACAAGTCTGTTTCTTTCCAACCTGTCATACATTCTGATCAACATTTTGTATTGGACTTAAACTTAGTTAGAGCTTGCTCACCTATACTCAGACAGTTTGTGCATTCACCCTTTGGAGATCTGCAAATCTAAAACACACGTTCGCACATAACTTCACTGCATGCACACTCACACATTCGTGTGAAGAAAAAGGCCACTTGTGACATCTTGGCTTGTGGATTCTAATAATGT